TCTGTGGTCAGGTCAAGATCTTCTACGGTCGGGTCTGGATCTTCTGCGGTCGGGTCAGGAGCGAAGACCTCAGACGAACCAGGGGCAAAGACCTCAGACGAGCCGGGGACAAAGATCTCAGGCGAACCGGGAGCGAGGACCTCGGTGGATGGACCAGGAGCGAGGACCTCAGCAGATGGATCAGGAGCGAGGACCTCAGTGGACGGACCAGGTGCGAGGACCTCAGCAGGTGGGTCAGAGGCGAGGAGCTCAGTAGCGAGGAGCTCTTCTGCGGCCTGATCGTCTGGGGCTGGATCTTCTGGGGTCGGATTTTCAGTGGCAGTATCTTCAGCAGCAGGATCTTTGGCGGCAGGATCTGGAGCAGGAGCGGAGTCCGTCTGGACCCCCACAGCTGAGCAGACAGAAGAGGAGTCCGTCTGGACCCCCACAGTTGAACAGGCTGGAGAGGAGTCAAACCCCCTCGGAGCAGGAGAAGTGAGGAGCGTCCACCAGGACCCCCTCGGAGCAGGAGATGTGAGGAGCATCTTCCAGAACCCCCTCAGAGCAGGAGAAGTGAAGAGCGTCTGCCAGGACCCCCTCGGAGTAGGATATGTGAGGAGCATCCGCCAGGACCCCCTCGGAGCAGGAGAAGTGAAGAGCATCAGCCAGGACCTCCTCGGAACAGGAGACATGAGGAGCATCCGTCAGGACCCCCTCGGAGCAGGAGAAGTGAGGAGCATCCGCCAGGACCTCCTCGGAACACGAGACGTGAGGCTTGGCTCTTCTGCGTCAGGCTGCAGGTTCTGAAGGCTCTGGGCAGGCTGCAGGTTCTGAAGGCTCTGGGACTGGGGCCGAGTCATGCTCTGGGACTGGGGCCAAGACTGGGTCTGGAACTGGGACCGAGACTGGGTCTGGAACTGGGACCGAGACTGGGTCTGGAACTGGGACCGAGACTGGATCTGGAACTGGGACCAAGACTGGTTCTAGACAGGCTCCAGGTTCTGTGGTGGATTGTCTTATGGACCTGATCTCAATCAAAAGCTGGTGATATTTTGGGATAGAGGTGAGGCCGGGCACAGAAATTAACAGTTTCTTAGCTAACCTAAGAAGTGTGTCAGAACAGTCCAGGTTATTTTTAGCTGAAGTCAACAGGTTTTGAAGGATGGTGTTTATGTGATAGATATCAGAGGCATCTATCACCCAAGACGTGTCTTTTTTGATGACCTCTGCAGGAGTAGTGTGGGACTGCTGTGTAGACTGTTCTCTGGGGTGGCCCCCCTTCGTCAGACCTTTAGACTAACGGGGGTGGAGAGCGAGGTGACAGAACTGATCCTTGTGCGAGCTTAGTGCAGGAGTGAGGTGCCGGATTCCACCCTCACCGAAGAACTAGGAGGTAAGTCATCTGGATCAGCTTTCTCAACAGCACCAGAACCAGGTCCCGGAAACTCAGCCTTGCCAGACCGAGTTGGATCTGCAGTCGCTGTCAGGGATGTTGGCAAAGGTTTCGTGGATTGTTTCCGGTTTCGTTTTCTGCTGCCCTGGCGGCGACAGTGGGAAGAGGGAGCAGGAACAGACAGAGCTCGTCCTCCAGCTCCGCGTCCTCCCCTGACATCCACCCTGAGTAGCCGAGCGGCGCTGGAGATGGAGAAAAATTTGTCTCGGGTGCCAGGTGTCCCCCCTCCCCCCAGGGCAGAAACCTTTTCTCTTCCTCCAGAACCAGGAGAGGCGAAGACAAAATTTCAATCGCCAGGCAGTGGCGATTTTGTGTTCGGACAGGTTCAGTTAGGAACCCACCACACCGGATTACAGGCTCCCCCATCTGTGGCTTGTAACAGACAGGTGAGTAATTCTGAGAAGTACTCTGCCCGCTGGGTTCTGTGTTGGTCGCGTCGTTCTGTCAGGATTTATCAGGCAGGAATGAACCCAGTAATTGCAGGCAGGGACTCGACTCAGAAGATACAAAAATAAATACTTTAATGAAAATACATTAAAATAGCCAACGAGGCAGAAACTTACAAAATATACTCGGGACTGGATCAGACTGGCAGGACAAGACAGGGTAGACCCAACGACGACGCGACAATGAACAAGACTAACAGACAGACTAGATTCTAGACTAGACTAGCTTCTTTTCCTCCCAGGCTCTGATCGAGGTGGCAGCTTCTGTTTTCTCCTCCCCCGTTTTTTTCCTTCTTCCTGCTCTGCTCTCTGTGTGTCTGAAGCGCCTGGGTCTCATCTCCCGAACATAAATTAAGAAGATTATGGATTTGGTATCGTGGGCGTTCAACTCTATTGATAAGATTTTTTCATCAAAGCGACAAGGTCCTGGGGAACCGGCATGTCTAGCTGAGACTCACGCTGTGGGGTACGTCATGGATTCGTGGGGAGTGTGGCAATCAATGTGCATTACAGTTTTGTCTCAAGAAGATGTTGAAGACGTTTACATATTTGGACTTATGATAGCAGGGACTCTGCTTTTTGGCATCGGCGGGGCTCTGTTTTATTGACTTTTGAAGAAGACAGCGGGAGCAGTTTGGCCATGGAAAAGCTCCCGAGTCAGTGTGAAGGTCGGGTCCTCGCTGTGGGAACTTTAAATCGTCTGGTGTATGAGCTTAACTGTAAGGTGGAGGCGATTGAGAATCGCAAACCACCTGCGGCTTCTGGGACTCATCAGCGTGGTGGGTTCGACCTTGAAGGAGACTCATAGCATGGATCAGTGAAATTAAATTCCACAATTAGGCTTTTTCAGAACCAGAACGCCCAGATGGACTCAAGGCTGAAGAAAAAAATCTGTCTGCCTGAAGAAAAACAAATATTAAGCTTATCTAATCTGACTCCCAATGGCCTCGGAGATGGGCTGACTATCAAATTTCTCCTGGGACATGAGTACCCAAGGACAAAAGCTTTATCTATCGCTGCACCCCCTCCCGAGAACTTTCTGTGCAGGCTTATCAGAACTGCTGGCTGGAACAATATCCTCAGAATCTGTGACTGATCTGAAAAAAGCTCATGGACAAATCTCAACACCTCGATGTCAAATGCAAATGTAATCATGTTTTAATTGAGCTGCTGGTAGAGTTTTTTGATGGCTCAAATTGTGTCCTGATAGACAAGATGTGAAAGATCTTTTTTTGTAATACCACCATCTACCCTCATGTTTCTCCCCCTTTTCCTATCTAAGATTATTATCTGATAAGGATAAAATGGCCGCACTCTCCTGTAGTTGCAGCTTCGTGCACTCCGCCCATCTTTCGGACGACTGTACGTACATATTCGCGTTGTACCTCGGTGCAATTCCATCAAAGTTTATTCTGATTCTGATTCTGAGATACCCAGACAAGACAGGACATGATTACAAACAGCTGGCACGAGACAAGGGTGAAATTAATTGGATAAATGATGAGACACACAAGGGAGTACAGACAAGGAATGCCCACAGATGGTGCCATCCTTACAGGGACTACAGTACAAGTAGTACTTTGAGTAGACAGGTGCTAATTTGAGTTTACCTGGCTGCGATCCTCCCCAGCTCCATCAGGCACAGGCACACCTCCCAAGGCTGCTTGTGAAGGACTTCATGACAAACAGAGCATGGAGGGGCAGAAACAGAGAAAAAAAAACAACAGGTGACATCTGAAAAGAAAGATGTTTATGGAGATAAAATACTGTTTCTAACAAAAGAAAACCAGAGCTCCATTTGGAACCGAGAAGGCCGTTTCAGAGGATCTTCCATCTCTTTTATGCAAGTCAGTGTTTAAAGGTGAGCAGGAATTCCTGTGGGTTCTGGATTTGTGACAGAGGGCATGAGGGCAGCCTGCAAAGAAAAACCTCACTGACCTCCACTATCCTTTATTATGAAAGGAACTGTGAAGATAGGAACCAGGTGGGGGACTGGGTCAGTTTTAGATCAGGAAAAAAATGTTACAATCAAACTGTTAAAATGGCTAACCATAAAAACTAAAAGTGTATCTTTTACACCCACCATAAGATGGGAAGGATGATTGTACCATTGTGACAGAGAAACAACACTGCCTTTTAAGAAAAGCTCAGCGAGTTTCCTCTCAGTCAATTGTATAAGAAGCAGACAAAAGGGACGTTGTGTCTGTAAGGATTTACCTGCATTTCATCGTTCTCACGCATCTGTGGACCTGCTTAGACTTGCCCCTACAAGAAGTGTATGGAAAACTACTGTACTTGATAAAATTACAAAACTGTGTCAGGATGTAGATTTCTGCTCCAACACTCAAGCAACATATGAACCTTTAAACAGAAAGATGCTTTGGAGGGGTCTCCACAGTGAGTCATCCTCCTCCATCTCACTCTGTCCTCTGTGTCCTCTGTCCTCACTCCATCTACCTCCATGTCCTCTCTTAACTGCATCCATATGTCTCCTCTTTGAATTTTTCATGGCAGCTGCATTTCTAACATCCTTCTACCAATATACCCACTGTCCCTCCACTGGACATGTGCAAAGCACTGTCCCTCCTCTGGACATGTCCAAACCATCTCAGTGTGTCCTCTCTAACTTTATATCCCATTGGTTCAACCTGTGCTATACCTCTGGTGATCTCATTCCTAATCTTCTCCATCCTTGTCACTCCTAAGGAGAACCTCAACATCTTCATTTTTGACACTTCCAGAGTTCTGTCTCCTGTCTTTTTGCCCATGTCTCTGTCTCCAGACCAAACAACATAGCTGGTCTCACAACTGTCTTGAAAAATGTTTCCTTTGACCTTTGCTGACACCCAGGTCTTAATTTGTAAACCAATTGATGCCGTAATGCAAATAAAGGGTGGGATGGTTGGGGGGGGGGGGGTAGGCGGCGCAGTGGATGTCTGGGGGTTGTCCCCCCATAAAATTTTGAATAAAGTGTAAATGCGATTTCCTGCATTTTGGTGTATTTTAACGGGTTCTTTAACATCTACATTTGCCTACATTTGTAAACACTCTGCTTCTGTCAAGCAGCCTAACACCCCACCCCCCCACCACTCACACACACACACATTTAATGGTTCAGAGCCTGACTCTTCTTTCTCTGCTCGTTGTTGTCCGACTCCACATGTGAAACCTCCAGGCGCCTCTTCCATCTGTTCATGACGGCTGCCTGTGAGCTCCTGCCCATATACGACTGCCTGATTAACAACAAAAAAGGCTAAATCATGTCATCTGGGCCAGTTTCTCTAAGTGACTGACTTGAAACACGGCAGGGAAGGTTACCTATGGGACAGATCTGGTTGGCAGGCCACAGACCGACAAAATCCTCTGTCTGGATGGGAGACGAAACGTTTCTCATTTGAAGAGACTAGTCCAGATGACATGATTTAGCCTTATTTGTTGTTATCTACCTGGACGATTGAGCTTACAAACCTACGGATACTATGGCTGACTTTCATTCCTCTTCGTTCAAGTGCACACCTCCACCTGCCTAAGTTCTCTTCCACCTGCTCCCTGTTCTCACCACAGATCACAATGTAATCTGCAAACATCAGAGTCCACGGGGATTCCTGCTTGACCTCATATGTTAGTCAGTCCATCACCAAAGCAACCAAGAGGAGCTCAGAGCTGATCCTTGATGCACTCCCACCTCCACCTTGAAGCTGTCTGTCACTCCTACAGCACATCTCACCACTGTCCTGCTGTCCTCATACATGTCCTGTACCAGTCTAACATACTTCTCTGCCACTACAGATTTCCTCGTGTAATGCCACACCTCCTCCCTCAGCACTCTGTCAGATGCTTTTTCTAAATCCACAAAGACACAATGGAGTTCTTTCGGACCCTCTCTGTACTTCTCCATCAGCATCCTCAAAGCAGAGATGGTGTCTGTGGTCCTCTTTCTTGACATGAAACCATACTGCTGCTCACAGTCACATGAGAGTTCTCCCAGTTGGAGTTAAATTCAAAACAGTCTGCCCTTCAGATAAATAATGTTACCTTATTTTTTTATTTTTATTTTCTTCTTTCTAGAAATTTGGCTGATTTTTTTTATTATCTAAATTATTCTGCCTCTCAGCGAGCAGGTCCCTGGTTCAAACCCCAGTCCAGGGGCTTTTCTGGGTGGAGTTTGCATGTTCTCTCCGTGCATGCGTGGGTTTTCTCCGGATACTCCAGTTTCCTCCCACAGACCAAAAACATGCATGTTAGGCTGATTGGTAACTCTAAATTGTCCCTAGGTGTGAGAGAGAGAGTGAATGGTTGTTTGTCTCTATGTGTCCCTGTGATGGACTTGCGACCCGTCCAGGGTGTACCCCTCCCCTCGCACAGTGATTGCTGGACATGGGCACCGGCGACCCCCGTGACCCAAAATGGAATAAACGGGTAAAGATAATGGATGGATGGATGAATCTAAATTATTCACAACCCAGGGTCCAGTCCAGGAAGCAGAGTTGTAGTCCTCCACACCTCTCTGCTGCTTCTCCTCTGTTACCCACCCACACCCCCACTGAAACAGTGTCAACTCACCCACGGCTCAAATTAAATAAACCAAAAATCAGCTCTAATAATATTAAACATAAAAATCGTATTTAAATTAACACAAGTACTTTACCAGAGCAAAATCATAAAATAATTAAATGTGGATTATTGAACATCAGACTCTCTTTCCTCTAAATCCCTGTTAGTTAATGAACTGATCATCATATTATAGCATAGCAGAACTGGTTTGTTCCGCTTTGGAGTAAGCTGTTGGGGAAGAATCAGTTTTGTTGTGTGTTTCCTTGACTGATGAAGCCTTCTGGATCAAAGGCAAAATATTTCAGCACAAAAAAAAATAAAATAAAAAGAAACTGTCCATATGACCTGACTGAAAAATGTTGGATTGTATACCTGGATTATTGAACATGGACTTTGTTGATCATCATATTGATTTATTCTGTCTGACAGAAACTTGGCTACAACAGGAGGATTTTGTTAGTATAAGTGAATCCACTCCTGTTAATTATTTAAATTTTCATGTTCCTAGAACAACTGGCCGAGGTGGAGGTGTACCTTCTATTCTTCAGTCAGGACAATTAAATAATACAAAACCAATTATTAGTTATAATACTTTTGAATCGCTGTCTCTAAGTCTATCCCATCCTAAATGGACATCAGAAAAGCTACTTTTAATAGTTATATATTGTTCACCAGGCACTTACTCTCTGTTTTTGTCTGAATTCTCAGAATTCTTAATTGACTTATTACTAACTACTGATAAAGTCATAATAATGGAGGATTTCAATATTCATGTAGATGTTGAAAGTGATAGCTCAAGCATAGCCTTTAAAAACTTAATAGTCAATTGATTTTACTGAAAATGTCCACACATCTAGGAACTGTGAAGTGCTACCTGAACCAGAAACCCTGGTTGAACGCATAGGTCCATACCCAGCTGAAAGCCAGGGATACTGTCTTCAGGTGTGACAACTCACATGAACTGGGGAGGACAAGGAAATAGCTGGCTGCTGCTATAAAGAGGGCCTAAGCAATACATGCATGGAAGATACAGGGACATTTCTCCTTACGGGACCCACGGAGCATGTGGAGGGGCATTAAGTGCATGACAGACTGTAAAAGCAGGGGTGCACAATGCCCAAGGGATCAATCACTGCCTGATGCTCTTAACATATTTTATGCACGCTTTGAAGACACAAATAGACCACCCAGCACCAGACTCACCTCACCACCGGAAGAAGAGTTTCTCAGTGTAACCTCAGCAGAAGTAAGGAGGACCTTCAGGAGGATTAATCCTCACAAAGCAACTGGCCCAGACAACATCCCAGGGAGGGTGCAGAGAGACTGTGCCGATCACCTCTGTGAGGTGCTGGCTGATGTCTTTTAACTCTTCACTCACCCTGGCAACTGTTCCCACCTGCCTGAAGACCCATCATCACAGTTCCTAAGAGTGCTGCAGTGACTAGTCTGAATGACTATCGAGCAGTAGCCCTCACCCTGATAGTCGCTAAATACTTTGAAAGACTGGTCATGACCCACATCAAAACAACCATCAACATAAGCAAAGCTCAACACCAGTATGCATACTACAAGAATTGATCAACAGAGGATATCATCTCCACTGTGGTCCACACTGCTCTCACCCACCTGGAGCAGAAGGACTCCTACATACGTATGCTCTTTGTGGACTTCACATCTGCCTTCAACACCATGATCCCCCAAACCCTGATGGACAGACTACTCACACTTGGACTAAGCCCCTCCATCTGCAACTGGGTCCTAAACTTCTTAACAAACAGACCACAGGTAGTGAGGATCCACAACCTCTCCTCCTCCACCATAACCCTCAGCACTGGCTCCCCTCAGGATTGTGTGCTGAGCCCTCTCCTGTTCATTCTGCTCACATATGACTGTGCACTAGGATGACATTTTTCTGGAATCCTGTGGGTCACGGGATCCCAGCAGGATTCCGGCAGAACAGGAGTCAACTTTATTATAACTCACAGGATTGGTATGGGACAGGACGAAAAATTAACAGGACCAGACAGGAGTGCGAACCAACAAATCAGGACAATAAAATAAAATAAACTTTGGACAGGCACCACTATTTTCTAGTTTTCTTTCAATAAGCCTTCACTCTGGAATACTAGACTTACAATTTTACAGTCTGTAAAATGTTAAACACAAAGTAATATAAAAAGGAATGGGTAGAAGGTTAAATCAAATTCAATGTATTTCCTAAAGACTAAATGGAAGAAATGAAGAAGAAAAAAAACAGGAGTGGTGCAGGAGTGGGAGTCATTCTGAATGGGAGCAGGATGGGAGCAGGAGTCATGTTACCAGGAGTGGGAAAGGACAGGAGCTATTTTTTTTATTCTGGACCTGAAATGGGACAGGACAGGATTTTTTCTGTGGGACCAGGACAGGACAGGAGTGAAAATCCACTCCCGTGTCATCCTCTACTGTGCACCGACCCATCCAAGCTGTCAAATTGGCTATGTTTACATGTGCAAAATTCTTTGACTGGATTGAAATGTTTTCAGATTAAATAATTCAAATGTATCATTTACATGGGCACAATCTGTTCATGACGAGCGTTTACATGAAGCGGGCTTTGTTCTGAACAGAAGTAGACATGCGTAGAGTGGTAAACTCTCCTTGAAAAACACAGAAGAAGAAATTCTACTTCCGGTTTACTTCCGGGATGAAAGTAAACAAACCTGAGCACCAAAATGGACCCACGACAGGTTTTAATGACGGTGGAAACGCTACTGCACTCCCTGACTGAGCTACAGGCAATACAGGTCATTTTGAGCTTTTTCAAAGTTTCTACAAGAAATGTTGTGTCGTTCACCGACCAGCTTTGCTTCCCCGACATGCTAATATTCTTAGCATTAGCCAGGCGGAAATGACAAAGTCGCACATGCACAGTCAGGTCAGTTTTTCACGATCGAAAATAAATGAACAGTTCAAGTGTTTACATGCGCACCATTCGGGTTATGAATCAGCGTAAACCCCTGTTTCGTGCTGATCAACAAATTATTTCAGATCGTACTGAATAAACAGAAAATAACCCAAATGGGGCGTTTACATGACACATTTTTATTTCAAATGGCCATTTAACCCGATTACTTATGTCCATGTAAATATAGCTATTGTAAAGTTTGCAGATGACGGTGGTTGGATGCATCACAAACAACAATGAGTCCAGCTACAGGCAGGAGGTGGAACAGCTGGAGAGCTGGTGCAGGAAGAACAACCTTCACATCAATGTAAAAAAAGATGAAGGAGATGGTCCTGGACTTCAGACCAATCAAACACAACTACCACCCTCCACCCCTCCTCCACCCTCTGAACATAGGAGGATCTGTGGTGGAAGTGGTCTCCAGCTACAAGTACTTGGGTGTGCACCTGAACAACAACCTCAGCTGGAGCAACAACACCACCAGCCTGATGAAGAAAGCTCATCAGAGACTCTACTTCCTCAGACGGCTGAGACGAGCTGGTCTGGAAGCTCAGTCCTCACCTCCTTCTACAGGTGTGCAGTGGAGAGCATCCTGTACTCCAGCATCAAGTGTGGCATGGAGGCTGCACAGCTGCAGAAAGAAAAGCTTTGCAGAGAGTGGTGAAGGCTGCACAGAAGATGTTGGAGTCAGCCTCCCCACCATCACAGACATCTACACCTCCAGATGCAGGAAGAGGGCCACCTGCATCATGAAGGACCACACTCACCCAGCACACACACTTTTTGCCCCACTCCCCTCAGGAAGGAGGTTGAGGAGCATTAAGTGTAGAACCACTAGACTGAGGAACAGCTTCTACCCTGAGGCTGTTAGACTCATGAATCTCTAACCAGAAGAATCACTGTGATGACACTTTAATTGGTGACAAGTGACTTATCTGTACTGCTGATCTCGTGCTGTTGTGCTCATTCATATCCATCTGCTCACCACAGACTCATGTTCAAGCTGCTGTTGTTACGCCATATTGTTTTACATTGTTAGTGTTTAGTTTGTATCTTGGATCCTTATATACTCTTTCTTTTTACAATTTATATTTTTGCTATTGTTGCATGTAACTGGGACCCTGTGTACACAATTTTGTTCCACCTCATGAACCACATGTGATGAAACGACAATAAAACTGACTTAAACTTGACCTTGTGTTAGTTTCTCCTGGTCTTGAGTTTTTCTGAGTTTTGGTTGTAAGTTACCCATTAAATGCCCTGGTTTTCCTTGCCTCCCTGTAGCTGCCCACATACTGTGTCTGCTTAAACTCAAGGTTAAATGCATATTAATTCTCTACTTCTTAGCCGATCTGGTAGTCAGATATTTAAAGCTGTAAAATAACATGCACTAAAATTAAGTGATTCTTCCACACTGTCTTAATACTCTTACAAACCTCAAGTTTAAAGGCCTTTGCTCAATCAGAACAGTGAACACAGACAGTTGAGTCAACAAATATTGGCATTAAAACAATGAAACTAAAAACGTCAGAGCCCTTTGGGATCCACTGTTTAAAACAGTGGATCCCAAAGTTATGGCTATTACCCCAAGGTAGGTCATGGCACACCAAGTGGTGGTCCTTAAATAACCTCCAGGTGTCAGTTTACTTTGACTGAGTGTCACATATTTGTTCTAATTGTTACAAAGAATAAAATATTTAGTCATAACCTTGTAAAAATAATAATAAATAAGTTACTGTGGATGTTAAGGTTGGGTTGTCATTATGCTTGTGTTAAACAATGTTTCTGTATTTTTCATCCAGTACTAGATGGAGGTCAAAATAATGTAGTCCAATCATTTTGTACACTCGAAGCTAAAATGTTTGGGAGGCACTAGTCTAAGACACAATCTCTGCTTTTAACTCACCCAAATCTTCAGATTCAAAAAGGTACGCCTCATCAATGCCGATCTGTCGACACCAGTAGAGAAAGTTGGCGGTATTATCTCGCGCGAAGAATGATCCAGAAGTTGCACTGGCTCGCCAGTTGATCACTCTTTTGGCCATCGGCTATCTCACACACACACACACACACACACACACGCACGCACGCACACACACACACACACACACACACACGCAGATGAAGCGAGGCTGCAGTGGGAACATAGTTCTATATTTCTTCAGTACTACATGAACCTGCACAATGACACGCCCAGCCACCTTTAAAAGAAGAGCAGGGTGTAAATATGAGCATCCTCCACTTGTCTGAGTGTTCTGTGTGTGCACGAAGGATAAAAGAAAAAGAAACTTGTCAAAACCAAACTGTAGCAAAGTGAGGTTAGGTCAAATAAAACCAGACTAGACATGAACAGCAGTTAGTCTCAGACCAAACCCTAACCCTGAGCAAAGCTCCACTCGTGGTTTGCTGATTTGTAGCTCCTGGATGTAAAGCTAATAAGAGAAGAGCAACTACTTTGTTCAAGCTGTTATTTTAATTATGTCTGCTTAAAGTGTCCATGATCACATCAATAAATTACTGTTTTATTGGGTTGGTCAAATTTAATCGTCCTTAAGTGATTGTATTTTTATTCGTTGACATGTTTCTTAGGTGAAAGGTGATCATGTAAATGCCTAAATGTAAAAACCTTTAGAGAAGTGATAGGTGCAGCACCTTTCCCTTGTTGGTGTGAACCATCTTCTCTTGGAGCAGCTTTGCCAGCTGACAGAGGAGAACGCCGTTATCCAACTGTTCGATCAGACTGTCTGCTGTGAAGTTCACACCTGAGAAGAACCCAGACACACTGAGCTAAAGAGCTTGATGCAGAACTGTCATGAAAACTCTCAGCTTTACCACATGGGCCCACATGTCATTGCTTTTCATTCCTTACACAAACAGTTTTGTGAAAAGCAACTTTTGTCCCTTTTCCACCGCTCCTCTTCAGCCCAGTTCGGCTCGGTTCAACTCGACTCGGTTCAGTGCACGTTGTGTTTCCATAGCCCCTTTCAGTACCCGTTACAGTGGGCGGGGTTCAAACTGACGTCACACGCCTCACCAGCTGGTGGGGGTAAGGCCATGGAAACAGGTTTCAGTGCAGGGTGAGAAATTATTTTGAAGTTTCTGGTAAATTAAAAAGAATACAGATTATTGAAATGATCTAATTAAACTATATATATATATATATATATATATATATATATATATACATGTCTTGCTAATAAACGTTTAATGAACTTTAGTTCACCATTAAATCTCTGATGAAGCAGATTCTACAAAAACATGTATATTTAAAATTTTATAGTTTTTCTTCATCGTTTGATGTATTTTTCTTTTTTTTTTTTTTTTTCGTTTAGCCTTTATTTACCCAGGTGAGTCTATTTAGACTCATTGTGTCTACTTTTATTGTTCAGTTTATTTGTGTGGTTTTGTTTCTTGTTCACAGATATTTCCTCTTTTTAGCTTTGCTTTACAGTTTAATTCTTGTTTTGTGATTTGTACATCTGTGGGTTAGAATAAAGTTGAACTAAAGGCCGTATCTCTTCTTTAAACATGTTGGAGGGAAATATTCCTGAGATCTAATAATTTTGTGTCTTTTGAGGATTTTTCAGCTGAGTTAACTTTAACAGATTATTTAATCGTCATTAAAGTAAAAACAGGACTTCATGATGAATCCGGCACCGTTTATTTATTTATTTTATTTATTTTTGTATCTTTGCCGATTAAAAAAAATACATTATTTATTTAATACATAGAATGTTTTTAAAAAATGTTTCCATCCTCTGTCCCGGTCTGCCCGTCTGCCGGGATCAGGGTTCGGTCTTCATGAGCAAGCGAGGTCGGGGTCTGGGCAACGGCCTTCTGCGAGTCAGCAGATCGAGACTCCGATGGAGAGGACCGGGCAGACCCGCGGAGCTCCGTCTGGCTCGCTCTGAATTTTGTTGCCAGCCACCAAGCATATAAAACACGTGCACTTCACCATTAGACCACGGAGTGTCATTATTGTTTTTAAAATCTTTAAAATAGATCCAGCCGTTGCTCCAAGTTCCAAATAATTGCAATTGGCAGAATGGTGAAAAGTTTCTGAAAGATCCAGTGACTCCTCCCCCTGACCAGTCAGTGACCGACAGTGTTTCTGACGTCATGTTTAGGTGCTGGTTTGGCTCGCTTGGTCCCACCAGAGAAGCAGGGACCAAAAAAGTGTCCGGTTCCGTGAAAAAATGACAGTGGGAAAGTACCGAACGGAGCCGAGTCGGGCTGAAGAGGAGCGGTGGAAGAGAGACTTTAGAGTCAGAGTCAGAGTTTCTTTATTGTCATTCGCACCTCATGTGGTACACGTGGTGGAGTGAAATTATGTACTCAAGGTCCCAGTTACATCCAACAATAAAATGTATAAGAAAAACAGTAATAACATCTAAGATATGAACTAAGAAAAACATCAACTAAATATACACTAAGCACTCATAACATAAAACATTGAACATCAGCACAAACATGAACATGAGTCTGTGAGCAGATGTGCACGCATGAACACATCAACATTGAAACAGATCAGCAGCAACACGAAACAGATCAGCAGCAACATGAAACAGATCAGCAGCAACATGAAACAGATCAGTAGCAACATGAAACAGATCAGCAGCAACATGATGTGGTTTTTCACAGTGATTTATCTGGTTAGAGATTCATGAGTCTAACAGCCTCAGGGTAGAAGCTGTTCCTCAGTCTAGTGGTTCTACACTTAATGCTCCTTAACCTCCTTCCTGAGGGGAGCGGGGCAATAAGTGTGTGTGCTGGGTGAGTGTGGTCCTTCATGATGCAGGTGGCCCTCTTCCTGCATCTGGAGGTGTAGATGTCTGTGATGGTGTGGAGACTGACTCCAACATCTTCTGTGCAGCCTTCACCACTCTCTGCAAAGCTTTTCTTTCTGCAGCTGTGCAGCCTCCATGCCACACGTTGATGCTGGAGCACAGGATGCTCTCCACTGCACACCTGTAGAAGGAGGTGAGGACTGAGCTTCCAGACCAGCTCGTTGTCATGAATCACGTCCCTGTATTTAGATCTTTATCACTCTGTTCAC